CCATAAGTTGGAGGTGACTTGAAGGGACACAATTCCCAAAGTACTCTGAAAAGATAGACTGAGGATTAAGTCAGGGAAGTTTGAAAACTGTAGTTCAGTTTGGTGGACTAGATCTTTTTAGCAAAGTCTATGTACCACACCAAACTACAAATCTTGGATTCTGTAGGATGGAAGCTTGGCAGTTGATGTGATATATTGCTACAACTGTATAGTATGGGTGCATTCTGAGTATTTCTATGGTCAAATACTGGGAGTGGAGACAGAGAAGGCTCTGGAATGTGGGATATTAGGGGAGTGTGGATGGAGTTACTCTGAAACACTGGATAAATGACCAAAATGAAAATAACAAGGAAAAAAGAATAGAAATCGGTGGTATTGAAAAACATGCAGATATGACTGTAAATCTATCAAGATCAGGACTGCATACATTTTCTGGTGTTCTGCCATATATTTTCTGTTCAGACATGTTTTTCAGATTTCATTTATTGCACTCTAAAACTGCGCACTAATCAGAATTCTAGGAGATGTGTGTTAAATAATACAATAAAACAATGTCTAAAGAAACAAATTATAACATGAAAATAAAACCCAGCAACAAAGAATGGAACATTTCAACTACTCTGATCTGTGTAATTCTTTAAGTTGGACCTTGCAAAAAGACAGTATCAGCCTTTAGGTGTGACCTGTGGTGCTCCAAGAAATTTGGGTAAGTGATGCTCTGGCAGTTGTAATTATCTGCAGGATAATGGCCTTGAAGAGTAAAATAATTCCACTTCCATCTCCCATGGTCACAGTGGATTAAATGGGGGTAAAACTGTCAGAGTAATGAAATGCAAAGTGGTCTCACACAAGATGGCACTGAAATGCATGTGCATTTTTGACAGAAGGGAGAAAAAGAGGATCATGAGAAGGATCATGGCAGACTTCTACAGCTTGAACACCAACATCCAGAGGAATCAGGAAGGGAATGGGTCCCTTTCCTCACTGCATCCTTCCTTTCCAAACCAGCCCTGGAGGACTGGGGGTCTCTCTGGAGCTGGTTATCAGGTGTGGAGGGCTGAAATGGGGAAAGGAAAAGGAAACAAAACCTTGCAAAAGTAGCTCCACAGAACCATAGGTTTAAATTCCATGGTTTGGTATTGTTCATTTATGTCATGACAAAATTGAAGCACTCCAGTCATAAAGAAGGCATAATTCTGGCAGGAAACAGGCAAATAAATCATAGAGTTGGAGATCCCAAGGGCCATTAAGTCCAATCCCTTGTCACACAGGAATACACAATCAAAGCACTCTTGGCAGATAGCCATCTATCCTCTGTTTAAAACCCTCCAAAGAAGGAGATAGCACCAAACTCTGAGGCAGCATATTCCACTGTCACATAATTCTTATCATCAGGATGTTCTTCCTAATATTTAGGTGGAATCTCTTTTCTTGTAGTTTGAATCCATTGCTCTGTGCCATAGTTTCTGGAGCAGCGAAAACAAGCTTGAACCATCAATATGACTTCCTTTCAAATATTTAAACATTGTGCAACCCCTTAACCTTCTCTTCTCCAGGATAAATATACCCAGCTCTCTAAGATGCTCCTTACAGGGCATAGTTTCCAGATCTTTTACCATTTTTAGTCATCCTTTTCAGGACATGGTCCAGCTTGACAACACCCTTCTTGAACTGTGGTGCCCAAATCTGCACACAGTATTCCAAGTGAGATCTGACCAAAGCAGAATAGGGCCATGATTACTTTCCTCAATATCTACATTTTACCCCTATGGATGTAGCCTAGATTCACACTGACTTTTTTTTCACATCACCATGTTGACGCATGGTCAGCCTATGGTCTAATAAACTCCCAGATCTCTTTTACATGTGCTGTGGTCAAGCTATGTGTCACCAATCCTATATCTATGCATTTCATTTTTTTCCTGACTAAATGTAATACCTTACATTTCTCCCTGTTGGAATGGATGTTGTTATTAGTTACCCCTCCTAATTTGGTGCCACCTGAAAATTTGATAAGCATGCCCTCTATTCTATCATTCATGCCATTTATAAAGATGTTGAATAGCAATGGTCCAAGGACAGAACCCTGTGGCACCCCACTGGTCACTTCTTTCCAGGATGAAGAGGAACCATTGCTGAGCACCCTTTAGGTTCACATTGGTCAACCAATTGCAAATCCATCTAACAGTTGCATTTCCTAGGCCACATTTTCTTAGCTTGTTTGCAGTATTACCAAGAGGGACCCTGTCAAGCACCTTACTAAAATCAAGGTATGCTATATCCATAGCATTTTATTCATCTACCAAGCTTATAATTCTGTCAAAAAAAGAGGTGAGTTTAGTCTTCATGATGTGTTTTTGACAAACCCATGTTGACTTGTAGGGATCATGACATTTCTTTCTAAGTGCTTACAGACTCCCTGTTTAATTATCTGCTCTAGAATCTTTCCTGGTATTGATGTCAGGCTGACTGGGTTATAATTCTTGTTCTCCAAGAATTCTCCATGGTTATTGCTAGTGGGTCTGAGATTGCTTCTGCCACTTCTTTTAATAACCTTGGAAATAGTTCACTTGGCCATGGAGTTATTTTCAAATAAGTCCCCCCAGACATAACAAAAAAGAGAGCTCTTTTTTATTGTTTTTAAACTCTCTAGCAATCCTGAGCATGTTCTGTGCTTTAGCATTTCTGACTTTTCCCCTTCATATGGTGGCTGTTCATTTTAACTCCTCCTTGGTGATCTCCTCTACCTACTTTTCCATTTCTTGTACGTTTCCCTTTAGTCTGGCTTTGGGATTTATGGTAGACCCCTACAATAATGTCATTGTTGTTTCTGTCCCCCTTAATCTCCTCTCCCCTTAAACCAGGGGTAGGCAACCTTTCCCCTTTAAGGGCCGAGGGACTTCAGCTCCCAGAAGCCTCAGCCATGTTGGCCAATAGCTCCTGGGATTCTGGGAGCTGAAGTCCCTTGGCCCTTAAAGGGGAAAGGTTGCCTACCTCTGCCTTAAACAAACAAACAAATGCTTCCCCATGTGAGCTATTTATGGTAGATCAGTGTTCAATAGTCCGTTTTCATCACCAGTGGCAAACATATAATGTGTAGCCCCCATAAATAGCATCTGATGTATAAAGAGAGTTAAGCCCAGTGTACATGCCTATTTAAATTGCTGAATTAGCTGTAGCACAACTAGTATTACATGTAGAAGGCATATAGAACAATGGACATAACAAGACTTAAGATTTCGGGGGGGGGGGAATCTTACTGCCTTGCATTATAGTTAAGTCTGAGGTTGCCTTTTTCTCTTTGTACTGCACTCACTTACTGCACTACCACTGCACTGTTATTAAATCTCAGTTTGCTCTATTCTCTTTCAGCTGTGAATAAATCTGAGACATATGATTCTATGTCCACGTTGTAACCTCTCACTATATATGTTATTTACAGGGAGGACTGGAGGATTCTGCTGTTATTACAATCAAATATCACCCATCAATTAGACAAAACTGATGTACAAATAGTTTCTCAGATATTGCAAATCTTGAGCAAGAAGATTTGCACATATTAGTAGAACAGGTACGGTAGTATAGTTCCCCCTGCTGGCCATATAGGCAAGGTAACATGTTCCAATCCATAAAAGACAAGTGAAAAAAAGACTATAGTTTTTAAGACAACAACCTCCAGATGTTTGGATTGCAAGTTCCAGCAGCCCTAGCTAGCAAAGCCAGTGATGTGCAAAGGTGAGAATTATTACCCAACAACATGGAGAGTCACATGATTGACAATGACATATTGAGCCTAAACCTGCTTTGAAGCAAGTCCCATGGCCTCAAATGGAAAACTTCAGTCCAGGACACTGAAGTTGTAACTCTATGCATCTTTGATATGGGAATAAATCCTGTTGAACAGAGCAGGAATTTCTTCCAAGTAAGGAGACATAGGACTGCACTGTAAAAGGACAGAACTGAATTTGCATTTACACACCACAGATAGTGTTCCATTTGAGGCAATTGTGCCTGTGTGACATGTGGTATGTATATATGGGAGAGATACATGAGTGAGTGTAGTGTTGAACTGATAACTCTCTGTTATGTGCATGCTAGGAAATGTCTGTAATCTCTTAGTCTTTTATCATGTGAAATGTCCCAAAGGGTATTTATGATTTTTTGAGATTGAAGCAGAGCTCAGGAATGTTACTTTTTGGACTAAAAATCTCAGAATCCCTCAGCCACATGGTTAATTTCATGTGGCTTTCCACTTTTTTCTTTCAACTAGATGAGATAATTCGATTTTTTGGGTATATTTTGGGTGATGTTTTTGTCTTTTGCATTTTGGGTATTTTTGCAAAAAAATAATCATTTGTTAAAAAAAACCAACCAACAACTATTTTTATGCAGAACCCAAGATTTTGCACAGAAAATGCTGTGATATGTGTAAAGTAGTATATTGTGTAGCTTCCCCTAAGCAAGCACAGATAAGTTTCTCTCTAGAGGAATTTTTCACAGTTTAAGTCCTCAAAATGCAAGAAATCTTGTGAGAAAATCAGTTGACAATTTTGATGTGTCAAGATATCCTTTTTCATTAAGGTTAAATCATTTTGTGAGTATTCTATACATACTTATGTTAGATTAATTCTGTAATATTAAAATAATTGTAATTCTGTCTTTGGAAAAGCCACTATGGTGGATAAAAGAGTAAATTAAAAAATGGCTATTTAAAATCTGCATTCTTGTACCACTGCGTAGTTGTAAGTAGACAAATCACTGTATCCCAGTCTCATATACCTTATATCTATGATATACAGGAAATACTATTGGCAGAGATGTTGCTCGGCTTTTGAATAGGACTGGCTGTTGTTGTGCCTCCTCCAAAGACATTTTTGGCTTATGGCAAACCTAGGGTGAACCTATCATAGAGTTTTCCTGGCAAGTTTCTTCTGAGGGGGCTTGCCATTGCCATCCTCTGAGGCTGAGAGAGTATGACTTGCCCAAGGTCATCCAGTGGGTTTTTAAGCAGGGATTTGAACTCTGGACTCCAGATTTGTAGTCCAATGCTCAAACCACTACACCACACTGACTCTCGTAGGATTTGCTCTGCCTTTAAGCAATATGAGATGACTACTTCAGGCAGGAAATTCTGGATAAAATAACAGCACATGAAAGCAGTAGGTGGATGTTTGTCATCTTTCTGAATGCTCCACTGTGGAATAAGTTCTTGTCATATATAGAAAGGCAGCAGGCATACCTTGGAGAAAGTGAAGCATAAGCAATTTTCCTTGGCACAGATTTCTCTGTACTTGATTTTGTTTTAATGGGAGAGGGAAAGCATCCAAAGATACCATCACTCAAATGCAACTGAAAGTCCAGTTTACCACTGAACATAATAACCTTTGACAACCAGAACCCTGTAGATGTAGCTCCCTGGCTGGGGATGAAGTTGTGGTTCTAATCTGTATTTTTCAAAGACAGATTTGAACATTATACCTGCAAAAGATCCATAGTTGATTTAACCCACCACAAAACTCCCAGCCAGTGAACAGGGACTGCAAATAGAGGTAATAGAGGTCAGTCCCTATGGAGATGATATATTGCATGTCTTATATAATAATGAAAATGGTAATTACAGGAGACATTAGCTAACACTTGTATTTCATTAGCTGGAGAATGGGATATCTTTCTTGTGCAATACTTGATAGTCAGCTAACAACCTACACATTACATCATACCATATGTATTTTTGGCCTTAGATCAGTAGCTGTGTCACAGCCTTTTGAAAGCATCTGCACAATAAATCTCCATTTTATAGGAAAAGGCTGGTGACTCACCTGCTGTAAATTCCTGTTTCCCTGCACGCCTTCGCACAGAAGATCTTTGTCAGACTAATTAGTTTGGATGCTGGACTCACTGTTACTTCCTGTGACTCAAATTAATAAAGACACAACTGATACTAAAGCCTGAAACAAGAACTTCTCCAATTGAGTTTTTAAACTGAATAACCACACAGCATTTAGACATCAATTCCAATTATCTCTGGGCCTGACAACTCTTTCCTACATTCCCTTTCTATGCTTATGTGAAGTCTTCCTTGATGATGATGATGTGATGATGGACGTTTTCACACAGGCGGCTCTAAAGCCGCCTGGAAGCCCC